GAACACCAAACTTCCACGACAAAAGGAAAAACACAGCAAGACACATAATAGTAAAGCTCCCAAGAATCCAGGACAAGGAAAAAATAATGAAGCTGACAAGAGGGAAGAAACAGATAACATTCAAAGGAAAACCAATCAGGCTGACATCAGACTTCTCTGAAGAAACACTACGGGCAAGGAGAGAGTGGAGGGACATAGTCAACAGACTCCAAGAAAACAGATGCCAACCAAGAATACTCTATCCTGCAAAGCTCTCTTTCCTCCATGAAGAAAGAATATGGACCTTCCCAGACAAAGAGAAACTCCGGAATTTCATTGCGACTAAACCCCCACTCCAAAAAATACTACAAGGAATCCTAAAGCCAGAACCTCAGAGGGACGAATAACAACGAAAAAAGACCAAAAAAAAAAAAAAAGTTATTAAAAGAATAAATAAATAAAATCAAAGGAAAGACAAACACAATGGCAAATACAGATGCTAACATATCAATATTAACTCTAAATGTAAATGGACTAAACTCTTCAATAAAAAGACACAGAGTTGCAGCCTGGATTAAGAAACAAAACCCAACCTTTTGCTGTCTCCAGGAAACACATTTAGCTACAAAAGATAAAAATAGGCTCAAAGTCAAAGGATGGAAAACAATCCTACAAGCAAATGGGCCAAAAAAGAAAGCAGGAACAGCTATACTTATATCAGATAAAACAGACTTCAAACTCAAAAAAATAAAAAGAGACCCCAATGGTCACTACATTATGATCAAGGGGACAATACTTCAAGAAGAAATAACACTCATTAACATATACTCATCAAACGAAAGAGCACCAAAATATATCAGACAACTGTTGTCCTCTCTGAAAACAGACATCAGAGAAAACACATACGTAGTGGGAGACTTCAACACACCACTATCAACAATGGATAGATCAACAAGACAAAAAATAAGTAAAGAAACTAAAGCTCTAAATAAGGACCTAGAGCATTTGGGCTTAACAGACATCTATAGAACACTAAACCCAAAAAAAACGGAGTACACATTTTTCTCAAGCGCACACGGATCATTCTCCAGGATCGATCACATACTGGGGCACAAGACAAACATCAACAGATACACCAAGATTGAAATCATACCAACCATCTTTTCTGACCACGAAGGCATCAAACTAGAAATAAACCATAAAAAGAAGGCAAGGAACTATCCTACCTCATGGAGATTAAAAACCACACTAATGGAAGACCACTGGACTAACGAGGAGATCAAAGAAGAAATTAAAAAATTCTTTGAATTGAATGACAAGGAGGACACCAATTTCCTAAATGTATGGGATGCAGCAAAAGCAGTAATAAGAGGAAAATATATAGCAATAGAAGCTCACATCAAAAAACAAGAAAGAACTCAAAGAAACAACCTAATCTCGAAGCTCAAAGATCTAGAAAAAGAACAACAAAAAAACCCCAAAACCAGTAGAAGAAAAGAAATAATAAAAACCAAAGCAGAAATAAATGAAATTGAAACTAAAAAAACAATCCAAAAGATCAATGAAACCAAGAGCTGGTTCTTTGAAAAAATAAATAAAATAGACAAACCCCTAGCCAGGCTCACAAAGGAAAAAAGGGAGAAAGCACAAATACACAGGATCATAAATGAAAGAGGAGAAATCACAACGGACACAGCAGAAATAAAAAGAATAATCAGTAACTACTATGAACAGTTATATGGAAACAAGTTCAACAATCTAGAGGAGATGGACAAATTCCTACAACTCTACAATCACCCAAAGCTAGATAAAGAAGAAATAGAACACCTAAACAGACCAATTACAATTAGTGAAATTGAAATGGTAATCAAAAACCTCCCCAAAAACAAAAGCCCAGGACCTGATGGATTTACAAATGAATTCTACCAAACATTCAGAGACGAATTAGTGCCTATCCTTCACAAACTCTTCCAAAAAATTGAGAAGGAAGGGACAATACCAAACACGTTCTATTAAGCCAATATTACACTAATACCAAAACCGAATAAGGACAACACAAAAAAGGAAAACTACAGGCCAATCTCCCTAATGAACACTGATGCAAAAATCCTCAATAAAATTTTAGCTATCAGAATCCAAAAATGTATCCATAAGATAATTCACCACGACCAAGTTGGATTCATTCCAGGGACACAAGGATGGTTTAACATCTGAAAATCAATCAACGTTATCCAACACATCAACAAAAAGAAATATAAAAACCATATGATAATATCAATAGATGCTGAGAAAGCTTTCGACAAAGTGCAACACCCATTCATGATAAAAGCCCTTGAAATTCTTGGGATACAAGGAACATACCTCAACATCATAAAGGCCATCTATGACAAGCCAACAGCCAGTATCATTCTCAATGGTGAAAAGCTGAAAGCAATTCCATTAAGATCTGGAACAAGACAAGGATGTCCACTCTCACCACTGCTTTTCAATATAATACTGGAAGTCCTAGCCAGAGCAATAAGACAAGAGAAAGACATCCAAGGAATCCAAATAGGAAAAGAAGAAGTCAAACTATCACTATTTGCAGATGATATGATAATATACATAGAGAACCCCAAAATCTCCACAGAAAAACTAATTCAACTCATCAATCAATTCAGTAAAGTGGCAGGATACAAAATCAACACGCAAAAGTCAGTAGCCTTCCTATACACAAACAACAAATCTGAAGAAGAAGAAATCAAAAAAACCATCCCTTTTATTATCGAAACAAAAAAAATCAAATATTTGGGAATAAATCTAACAAAAGAGGTAAAGGACCTATACAAAGAAAACTATAAAACACTGTTAAAAGAAATAGAAGAAGACACAAAGAAATGGAAAGACATCCCCTGCTCATGGATTGGAAGAATAAACATTATTAAAATGGCCATCCTACCAAAAGCAATATACAGATTCAATGCTATTCCAATCAAAATTTCAATGTCATTCTTCAAAGAAATAGAACAATTATTGATGAAATTCATATGGAATCACCAAAAACCCCGAATAGCCAAAGCTCTACTGAAAAAAAAAGAAGGAAATGGAGGCATCACACTCCCAGACTTCAAACTCTACTACAAAGCCATAATCATCAAAACTGCATGGTATTGGAACAAGAACAGACATACAGACCAATGGAATCGAATAGAAAATCCAGAAATAAACCCACAGATTTATGGTCAACTAATCTTTGACAAAGGAGCAAAGAATATGCATTGGAGCAAAGAAAGTTTGTTCAATAAATGGTGCTGGGAAAACTGGGTCGCTACATGCAAAAGAATGAAGCTTGACCACTACCTCACACCATACACAAAAATCAACTCAAAATGGATTAAAGAACTAGACATAAGACCTGAAACCATAAAATACATAGAAGGAAATATAGGCGAAACAGTACGGGATTTGCACATCAAAGACATCTTTACAGACACATCACCCAAAGCAGTGATAGTGAAGGCAAAGATAAACAGCTGGGACTACATCAAATTAAAGAGCTTCTGCACAGCAAAAGAGACAATAACAAAAACAAAGAGAAACCCCACCAACTGGGAGAACATTTTTGCACCCAACACTAATGATAAAGGACTGATCACTAAAATCTGCAAAGAGCTGATGAGACTCAGCAACAACAAAGAAAATAATCCAGTCAAAAAATGGGCAGAAGAGCTAAAAAGAAACTTCTCTGAAGAGGAAATGCAAATGGCCAACAGACATATGAAAAAATGTTCAACATCACTTGTCATCAGGGAAATGCAAATCAAAACTACCATGAGATACCATCTCACACCAGTGAGAATGGCACATATTAAAAAAACTAGCAACAACAAATGTTGGCGAGGGTGTGGAGAAAAAGGAACTCCTCTGCACTGTTGGTGGGAGTGCAAACTGGTCCAACCACTATGGAGAGCTGTGTGGAGATTTCTGGACCTACTAAACATAGAGCTTCCATATGATCCAGCAATTCCACTCCTAGGTATTTACCCAAAGGACACAGAAACATCAATTCCAAAGAACACCTGCACCCCTATGTTTATAGCAGCACTATTTACAATAGCTAAGCTTTGGAAACAACCCAAATGCCCAAAAATAGATGACTGGATCAAGAAGATGTGGTACATATATACCGTGGAATATTACTCAGCATTCAAAAAAGATAAACACATGCAATTTGCAGCAACATGGATGGCGCTGGAAGGGATCATGCTCAGTGAAATAAGCCAAAAAGAAAAAGAAAAATACTGGATGGTCTCACTCATAGCAGGAATCTAGAAAACTTAAATAAGGTACCAGGAAAATGAATATAAGAAAGTGAAAATCAAAATCAACAAAAAACTATGAACCAGAGACACTTTTTGGGGGGTGGGGGGCGGGAAGGGAAGGATTGGGGTCAGAATGGGGCTTTTGCAATTGTATGGGGGAATATAAAAATAAAATTTATTATTTAAAAAAAATAAATTAAAAAAAATATTAAAAATCTACATTATGATCTAGAAATTCCAGCCCTAGGCATCTATCTGAAGACTATACAAACATTTTTTTGAAAGGAGATCTGCAGTCCTGTTTATTGCAGAACTATTTACAATAGGCAAGATAAGGAGCAACCTAAGTGTCCAAAAAAGTAGATTGCATAAAGAGAATGAGATACTTATACATAATGGAGTATTACTCAACTATAGAAAAATAAATCTTGCATTTGTGAAAACATGAATGAACTGTAGGGGATAAAGCTAAGTGAAATAAAGGAAAAGGAGACAGACAAATAATTTCACTCATGGACTATGAAGAAACAAAGTACAGGAACAAACCAAAACAAACCTGTAAACTGTAAAACTGAGGTTATTGTAGGTGGGAGTTGGGCATCTGGGGAGCAAAGGATAGTGAAGGGGTCCAGTGGACTCTGCTGGAAGGTTAACGGTACTTCAGTAGTGGGTGTGGTGTGGGAACCTGTACTCCTAAAATATTATTCTGGTTAAAAAAAAGCCAATCATCTTGCAACAGCATTTCCTATCATACAACAAATTAATATAAATTTATTGGGTGGAAAGTGGGGAAAGGAACAAAAAAGGTGGGATGGTTCTGTATTGACATTAAAGAATTCATGAAAGGGTCCAAAATCTTCAGCCCACATCACAGACTTCATGTTTTGCTAACTGTGGAAACAGGGCAGCCCTGGTTGCTGGGCTGGAGGAATCACGGTGGTGCAGCTATCAAAGAGGAAGGTCCTCTGTCCAGGATGTCACTTTCTGTCTAGTTCAGAGTGATGTTTCTTGGATGCAAGTCTAAGATTCTGCTTGTTTTCCCATCGGTGTAGCACAGACTGGCCGGGTATTACACCGTGCTTTTTATCTTGGTCCTGTTGGAAAGAAAAACACAAATATTGTTGAGAACTAGCATTAGAGCTTGATGACCTAATAGGTCTTTATCAAGATCATTTATTCATCAAGATAAATGGTTCTAACCTACACAGTTTGGGAGAGGTAGAACTTTTAAGAAATTAGTTCATTGGCTTTCCAAGTAGTAGAGAAATCAGAATATTACCAGAGAGTAACTGGATGAGAGAGAAATTCTGTATTAAGAAATACAAATATAAACAAATCCAGAATTGTTTAAGACAGCCACGTCTAAAAACCCTACCTCGTCTGACCACCTGCCATCCCGGGGAAGCCTCTGCAACCGATTTTTTGTCAGCTCAAGTTGTAGGCCATCAAACCTGCACTTAAACCAGCGGTGAGCTTCTTCCAGGTTAGCTGTTATCTGAACATATAAATGTTATCAAAAGTTACGACAAAGAATTACAAATTTTTGTATATTACTTTAATATTAAAAACCCACATGACCAATTGACAGTGACCTCACTGTCATACAGTAAGCTTAATCTACTATTTGGAAAATGAGGAATGGTTGTAGGGTAATTTCAAAATCCATTCTAGGTCTAAAAATTTATAGTTTTAAATGCCTTCCAAAAGGACAAGATTATAACAGAATACAGAAAAATAAAAAATGAAATAAACTGGGCCTATTTTACACTTCTGATTATTGATTGAACAAAGATCTACTACTAGTTCATGGCAGACTAAAATAATGCAATAAAATCCATATGCATGCTGGTCTCATGTTTTGTGGCTCTGGACTTCAGGTTTAATCAATACTTCACCATTCTATTATCTGTCATTAGGTAAGAATCTTTTTATTTTTGTATTGAGGTATTTAACTGACAGAGGCATACATGATTGGATATATGTATATATTGTAAAATCACCACCATAAACCTAGTTAGCATCAGTTGCCATCCACGCACATTTTTCTTTCTTGTGAGAACTTTCAAGATACTTAGCAACTTTGAAATATGCAATGCAGTATTAAGTTTATTCACCATGCTGTATGCATTACATCCCCATGAATTCTTTTGTTAACTTAAAGTTTGTATCTTTTCACTCCTAGCTCTCTGTGCCCATCTGCCAACCCTACCTCTGGTAACCACAAATCTGTTCTCTGTATTTATGAGCTCATTTTTTTATTGTAGATCTCACATACAAGAAAGATTATACAGCATTTTTCTTTTTCTGACTGAGCTAGCATAATGTCCAGAAGGTCCATAAATGTTGCAAATGACAAGATTACATTTCCTTTTTATGACTGAATAAAATTTCATTGTTTGTGTATGTGTGTACATGTGTGTATCACAATTTATCCTTTGATTTATTGATGGGCACTGGACACTGAGGTTGTTTCCATATCTTGGCTACTGTAGACAATGCCACAGTAAACATGGGAGTGGCATATACCCTTCTAGTTAATATTTTTTGAGGCAAATATCCAGAAATGGAATTGCCAAATCATATGGAATTTCTATTTTTAATTTTTTGAGGCACTGTCACACTGCTTTCCACAGTGGCTGCAGCAGTATACATTCCCACAGTGTACCAGAGTTCCCTTTTCTCCATTGTGTTGTGTTCTTCAGGTAGATACATGGGCATTTAATTGCTTGTCAACATTTGTTACTTTTTTTTTATAATCATCATCCTAATGAGCTGAAATGTGATGTCATTATAGTTTTGATTTGCATTTCCCTGATAATTATCAATTCAAGGCAATTGTTAATATATCTGTTTGGCCATTTTCTGTCCTCTTTGAAAAACATCTATTCATATCTTCTGCCCATTTTTCAATTAGGTTGTTTGTGGTTTTGCTATTGAGTTGTATGAGGTGTTTACATTTTTTTTAGATTATTAATCTCTTCTCAAATATGATTTGAAAATATTTTCTCCCAGTCAGTAGGCTGCCTTTTCATTTTTTTTCATTTCCTTTGCTGTGCAGCTTTTTGGTTTGATGTAATTCCACTTGATTATTTTTGTCATCTTTGCTTTGGTGTCAGATTAAAAAACTTAGCATCAAGACTAACTAGGAACTTATTTATGTTTTCATTCAGGAGTTTCATGGTTTCAGGACTTACATTCAAGTTTTAAATCCATTTTGAGTTAATACCTGCGTATGGTATGTTTCCCAGTTTCACTCTTGTATGTGGCTGTCTAGTTTTCTCCGCCATTTATTGAGGAAAGTCCTTCCATTGTAGTAACCGTACAAATATGTGTTTATTTCTGGTCCTCCAGAAATGTGTTATGCTAAATACCATGATGTTTTGATACTATAACTTTGAAATATAATGTGAAATCAGTGTGTGGCCCCCCATTTTAATCTTTCCCAAGAAAGCTTAGGCTATGCAGATTCTCTCGTGGTTCCATGCAGATTTTTAAGATTGTTTGCTGTATTTCTGGGAAATATACCATGGAAGCTTGAAAGATATTGCACTGGTTCTATAGATTGTTTTGGGAGTAGACACATGCTAACAATATTAATTCTTCCAATCCATGAACATAGAATACCTTCTCTTATGTCATTTTCAATTTCTTTCATTAAAGTTTTCAGTATATAGGTCTTTCACCTCCTTGATTATATTTATTCCCAGGTATTTTATTCTTTTTTGATGAAGAGCAAATGATATATATTTTTTTTTTAATTTTTTTTTTTTTATGGAGGCATGTTTTATTTGTTTGTTTGTTTGTTTGTTTTGTTTATACATGCACTGGGTACAGTCAGAAGCGCGGGAGGGTGAGAGAATTCACCAGAGCCAGAGCGGGGAGCAGAGCAGGCAGAAGGACCGAAGTACACTGCTGAGGGGAGCAGCGGGCGGCAGGAGAGGTCTGCGCGCCATGCGGGACCCTCCTCCGCTGGCCGGGGAGCAGCCGGGGATCGAACCGGCACCGCAGAGGCCGCGGGCAGCTTCGCAACCCAGTGCTCAACCACTGCGCCACCGGGGAGGCCCAAATGATATATATTTTATTTCAATTGCATTCTTAAATTATTTTAAATGCAGTAACATTGATTTATGTTTGTGTAGTACGAAGTATGGGCTCTCCCCCATCAGGCGTTGTTAGCATACCTCACCCACTACCAGGACACTAATATTTTATCACCATAGTCCATTGTGCTTCTTCCCCATCTTGCTCTCACCCTTTCCCCTTCGGTAGCCTCAGTTCTAGAGTCAGTTTTTTAGGGTTAGTTCTTTCTTGGCTTGCTTGATCAGACTCTGTTCGGTTTCCCTTTATCCCACATATGAGTGACACCATTGGCTATTTGTCTTTCTTTTTCTGACTTGTTTTGCTTACTTAACATAATCCCCTCTAGCTCTTCTCATATTTCCACAAATGGCAAGAGCTTTTAAGATAGTTGAGTAGTATCCTACCTTGTATATATATACCACATCTTCTTGATTCACTGATCCTTATTTGAGCACTTAGGTTGTTGCCATAGCTTGGATATTGTAACTAGTGCTGCAATAAACAGGGAAGTGCCTATTTCCCATAGAATTAATGTTTGTGTTCTTCAGGGAGATACATGGGCATTTAATTGCTGGGTGATATGAAACCCCTACTGTTTTCACAGGAGCTGGATCATTCTATTACCACCAACAGAGTAAGCATTTTCCTTTTTCTCTACATCCTTGCCAGCACTTGTTGGTTTTGGTCTTTTTGATATGGGCCATTGTCACTAGTGTGAGGTGGTATCTCACTGTAATTTTGATTTGCATTTACCCAGATGTAAGTGATGATGAACATTTTTTCATGTACCTGTGGTAATCTGTCTCTTTCTCATACCTGTTGGTGAACTCTATGAAGACATAGAGCTGTTCTCACTTTTCAACTGGATTGTTTTCTTTTTGTTGAGTTGTATGAATTCTTTGCAGATATTGGATAGTAGCCCCTTGTGAGATATATGGTGTGCAAATATTTTCTCCCATTAACCAGAGTGTCTTTTTTGAGATAGTTTCTTTTGCTCTACAGAAGTTTTTTAATCTGCTGTAGTAGTCCCAATTGTTTATATTCTTTCTTGTTTTCCTTGCTACTAGTAATGAATCCACAAAGACATCTCTGAAGTCTTTGTCATGGAGTGTTTTGCCTACATTTTTGTCTATGTATTTTAGGGTTTCAGGTCTCACATTAAAGTCTTTTACCCATTTTGAGTCAATTTTGTTATGGTGTGAGATACTGATCTGGTTTCAGTCATTTGTATGTGGCTGTACAATTTTCCTAACACTTATTAAAGAGGCTTTCATTGCCCCAGTGTATATTCGACGTCCCTTTGTCATAGATTTAACAATCTATATAATAGCTATGGGTTTATTTCTTAATTCTGTCCCTTTGGTCTTTGTGTCTATTTTTGTTTCAGCATTATACTGTTTGATTATTATATCTTTGTAGTACAGTTTGAAGTCTGGAAGTGTGATACTGCCATTCTTACTGTTTCTTGTCAGGATTGCTTTTGCTATCCTTATGTGTTTACATATGAATTTCAGTATTTTTGGTCTAATTCTTCAAATGACATTGAAACTTTGATAGGGATTGTGTTGAATCTGTCCATTACTTTGGGTAGGATGGAAATTTAGACAATGTTAATTCTTCCAGTTCATGAGCAGGGAATAGCTTTCCTTTATACAGGTCCTTTACCTCCTTTGTTTATTCCTAGATTATTTAATTTTGGGGGGAGGTGAAATTGTAAATGGGATTGCTTTCTTTTTTTTAAAGATTTATTTATTTATTTGTTTGTTTGTTTGTTTATACAAGCACTATGTACAGTCAGAAGTGCGGGAGGGTGAGAGAATTCACTGAGACAGAGCGGGGAGCAGAGCAGGCAGACGGACGGATGAAGTACACTGCTGAGGGGAGCAGAGGGTGACAGGAGAGGTCTGCGCGCCATGTGGGACCCTCCTCCGGTGGCCGGGGAGCAGCCAGGCACGAACCGGTGCTGCAGAGGCTGCGAGCAGCTTCGCAACCCAGCGCTCAACTGCTGCGCCACCGGGGAGGCCCTGGGATTGCTTTCTTAATTTCTTCCTCTTCTAACTCACTTTTGCATATTGGAAGGCAACTGATTTTTGTGTATTGATTGTGTAACCTGCCACTATTTGAACTGATTGTTTCAATTAGTTTTTCAGTGGAGTCCTTAGGGTTTTCTTTGTACATTATGATGCCATTTGCAAATAATGATTGTTTACCAATCTGGATTCCTTTTATGTCCCTTTCCTGCCTAATTGCTCAAGCTTAGATGTAAAATACTATGTTGAACAGTAGTGTGAAAGTGGGCATACTTGTCTTTTACCACATCCTAGTGGAAAAAATTATTTTTGCCATTGGGAATGATGTTAGCTATGTTTGTCATAAGATCTTTATTATGTGGCAATGTTTCCTTTTTCACCAGTT